GCTTTCGGGACCTCCATTTGCTGAAGTGCCACAACTCAATATGAGAAGAAACAGTTACAAACATCCATTGATAATCGGAACATGGAATGTACAAAGTATGAATCTAGGAAAATTTGAAGTTGTCACAAATGAAATAGAATTCATGAAGAATGATATCCTAGACATTAGTAAGCTGAAATGGACTTGTTTGGGCCATTTTGAATTAGACAACCATGTGATCTACTATGCCAGAAATGGCAGATTGAAGAGCAATGGTGTGGTGTTCATCGCCACAAAGAATGTTTCAAGATCTGTCCTGAAGTACAATGCTGTCAGTGATAGAATAATATCCATACACCTACAAGGAAAACCATTTCATACTATTATTATTAAAATTTACACACCACCAAAGCCAAAGATGAGGAAATTGAAGATTTTTACCAACTTCTGCAGTCTGAAATTGACCAAACATGCAATCCAGATATGTTGATTATCACTGGTGAATGGAATCCAAAAGTTGGAAACAAAGAAGAATCACCAGTAGCTGGAAAATTTGCCCTTGAAGATAGAAATAATGCTGGAGAGCGCATGATACAATTTTGCAAGACTAATAACTTATTCATTGCAAATACCATTTTTCAACAACAGAAATGGCAGCTATACACGTGGACTTTGCCAGAAGGAGTACACAGGAATCCGATTGACTGAAGTCTCTTCTAGATCAGTCCATTGCACTAAAAATAACATCAGGCATTCCTAGATGGGAATTCCATACCCAGCCTCTTCCTTTCCCTTCCTCCCACCCACAGAAATGTCCCCACATCCTTGCTCTAGCTGACATACTCCACTTTCTCAGGATTCTGCCTGATTTTACTAATTGCCCAAGCAAGAGAAAGAAATACCTATCATTTGTCACCCCAAACTATAAATGGTTCTGAAATCTTAGGCAAATTTGAATTTTCTACCTTGATGCACAGTAACATTGATATAGCTAAATAAGTTAGTTGTATTTTGCTTCCACTATACAGTAATTGAGAATTATCCTATACATTTCACTTTTTTCATAATTTCATGTGCTTAAGGCATTTGACTGCTAACCAGAAGGCTGGCAGTTCAAACCCACCATCCACTCCTCAGAAGGAAGGTTGGGCAATCTACTTCTGTAGTTGATACTGCTTCAGTAACCCAAGGAGGGGTCGCTATGTGTTGGATCTGACTCGAAGGCAGTGAGGTGTTTTTTTGTTTTGTTTTGTTTTGTTTTTTGTTTTTAATACCCTCTAAAATTGGATTGATTTTATGACACATCTGAAAACCAGTGAGCTATAGAAAAGTCATTGTAAAATGTGCACAGTGTTGTGGCTGTGGTCCTGACTGCTTTGCCCTTCCTGGGAGATGTCAGCGGTCTGTTCATATTATGATGCTCATTGTTGGAATCACCTTTGTCAGAGCCCATCTAGGTTTCAGTGCTTGAGGTGTATGAACAAAGTAATGAGATCGAGGATCTTGATTGGCTTCGGCTGAGTACTGACCAGAGGTACAACTGATTCCATAAACGATGGACAGATTTGATTATTTCAGGATACATATTTTGGGAGCATATGAATCATACCTTCAACTGAATTTTTTGAAGAGAATTGCCACAGAAAGCCCCTGCTTAGAGAGCACTGATAGGGTTCTGAAGATAATTTTATGAATCTACTAAGAATATTATAAAATTATTTAACATGCTAACTACACACTCAAGAAAGTTCATTGAGAAAGTTTGCACAGTATTTCCAAAAGGTAGATAATTAGGATATGCAACTGTTGTGCTTTATAGAGTATTAAAACTCACCCAAAAACCCAATGCCGTCAAGTGAGATCCAGCTCATAGCAACCCCTCCTTGGGTTTCTGAGGTGGTATCACTACAGAAGTAGATTATCCAACCTTCCTTCCAAGGAGTGGCTGGTGGGTTTGAACCCTTCTAGTTAGAAGTCAAGTGCCTTAGCCACTGTGGCACCAGAGCTCACAGGAACTAGGAACTAGGCGACTAAAAACCTGTGACTGTAGTCCACCTCTGTCCTCCCTCTGCCTGCCTCCTCCTTGTTGTTAATCCTCACCCTCTCCGGCCCCCATCAGAGGCCCTCCACTTGCCTTCCAGAGGGTCTTCCATACCCTGGTGTGCCTACTGCCAGAGCTGCAGTGGCCAGCCTTGTCTCCTTCTGCCTGGCAGCTTTCCTAGCAGTAACGGGGCCAGTATGTTCCTGGCCTCCCAGAATGAAGCTCTGCATGCGTTTCCCTGTGGAGACATTGGATATCTGATGATTAGGCCCATAAAACCATCACTACACATTAAATGATTTTCTGCAGCCTATTGGAAACTTCCCCATCTGGTATATATTGTTTTCTTGGGACTCTGTTTTCTAAATTAAAAGAAAAAGGATTACAATTGTACTTTTGTTATGCCCTTCATGATCAAGTTGGATTGCATGGATACATTTTATTTCCTTTTATCCAGAAACTATATAGATTCCAAAGTACCAAGTCTGATTCTATGTCAATTAATTGGTTTATTATTCAGTATCCAATGATGAAAAAGTATTTTTATTCTGTTTGAAAGTTCCAACATAGAATCTGTGAGAAGGGAAAGGTTTTAAATGACATAGGTTATATGACCCGATACTATTCAATAGGGGATACATTTTCATGCAAAATGATCCGTGTCATGCCAAATCTGGGTCTCCTTTTAAATATAACGCCATATTTCAGTCTCATAAAGAAAGAAATGGGCAACTTGAAATCCTTCCTTATTAGAAATTATATTATGTCTAAAAGAGTGGGAACAAAAGTGATATAACACCCATACTATAGCCTATGTACATGTAATTACCCTCCAACAAAAAGGGACTTTGTGCTGCCTTTGAGATAACACATGTACTGTGAGAATGAAGACCATTCTCAGCATGCAGACGGCTGACATTCCAGGCAACATGATCATCAGTCTGCAGGGACCCACAGTCATTGTGAAGAGCCCCAGAGGTACCTTGCCGAGAAAATTCAGTCCCATCAGTGTAGAACTCAGTCTCCTTGGAGAGAAAAAGAAGAGGCTTCTCAGTGGTGGGGAAACAGAAGGGAACTGGCTTCAGTTCACTGTCTGTAGTGTGAGGAGTTCTAGTGGGGTAGTCAAAGCATTTGGCTGCCAACCAGAAAGTTGGCAGTTCAAACACACCAACCACTGCATGGGAGAAAGATGAGACAGTCTACTTCCCTAAAGATTTACAGCCTTGGAAACTCTATGGAGCAGTTTTATTCAACCCTGTAAGGTCATTATGAGTTGGAATCAACTTGATGGCAGTGGGGTTTTTTGGCTTTGTAGTCATGTACGAGTGTGAGCAACATTGCTACTCTGGGCTGTCATTACAAGATGTGGTCTGTGTGTGCTCACTTCCCCATCAACGTTGTTATTTGTGGCAGCAGATCTCTTTTTGAAATTTGAAACTTCTTGGTAAAAATACATGCATAGGGTTCAGATGAGGCAAGGTGTTTCTTGATCAGTATCACAGGCACAGAAAGATGAGTTAATTCTTGAAGGAAAAGACATTGAACTTGTGTGAAATTCAGCTGCTTTCATTCAGCAAGGCAGGACAGTTAAAATCAAGGATATCTGAACAATTGTAGATGATATCTTGTCTCTGAAAAAGGACCAATTCAACAAGCTGATGAGTAGTATCTCAGAGTTATCCAGCTATGGAAATGAGGCCAGATGATTTCTAAGACCTGTGGGTGATATTTTTAAGATTCAGTAAAATCAATCTATTTCAAAAAGAAAAAGACAGACAACATAGAAAAGCTTGTGTTGCCAAGTTTTTCTGCATAATCCATCTACTGTGTTTCCTCCAACACACTTCACAAACACACTATAGAAAACAACACCACCTATGCTCCTCTGTGCTTCTTTTAATCATCAGAGTGCTCAATTTGATTAAGAACAATTTGATTAAAAGGAAAAGTATACTATCAGCTCACAATCTAAGAAGATAAACATGATTTCATATACAAAGTGCAATTAATTACTAGTCTATGGACTGAATTTTATTTCGCCATCACTTATCATTTAAGCCACATTGTTGTTGTTGTTGTTGTTATGTGCTGTCGAGTCGGACCCGACTCATACTGACCCCTCCTTGGGTTTCTGAGGCAATCTCACTACAGAAGTAAATTGCCCCATCTTCATTAGCCAACACAAAAACCAAACCCACTGCCATCAAGTTGATTCCAACTTACAGTGACCTCTTTTGGGTTTCTGAGGTGGTAACTCTTTATGGAAGCAGATTGCCAAGTCTTCCTTCTGTGGAGTGGCTTGTGAGCTTGAACCACCAACCTTCTATAGCAGCACCAATTTTAATGCTGTGTCTTCTCTTCTTTCTCCTAATATGTACTGCTGTGATTGCAAATGTCATCTGTAATTAGGTGAGATCAGGGCAAGGTCTGTATTCTGTGGCTAGTTAGTACTACTTTAGAACACTGCCTGCCCTTCAGACACTGAGGTCTTAGTTACATCACCACATAGACAATAGGGTTTGTGTCTGATTGGAATGTTTTGAGTGTTTTAACATCCTAATCATTAAGTAGAAGTTATAATTATATCAACAAAATTAACATGTACCAATAGGTAGACTTTTGAATTGCTTCAAATGTTTCTGATATTGTCTGCTCTAAAAATACCAACTTGATTAACCAATTTGTCTCATAAAAAAAAAAAAATGTTTCTATGTAGGTCAAGGTGAGATCATTTGAAAAATCTACACTTTTGAGAACTTTTAAGCTGCCAAATATATTTATTTATTTATCTCTTTATTTATTTATATATAATTTTCCAGCCAGAGCCAAATTATGTGGTCATTTTGGTTCTCAGAATTCAAAGCAGACAGGTCTGGGATCATGTGCGTGTGATAATTCTAGGGTACTCTCAATAAATAATACATGTCATTTCTGCTTCACTGAGACTGTCACTGACTGCTCTAAATGACTTTCAATGCAGGGCCCAGCTTGCTCTCCCAGAGTGCACTTCAGCTCAATTCCAAACCTGAAGGGTCCTTCCAGTATCCGGCCAGCTACCATAGCAACCAGACCCTGGCCCTGGGTGAAACGGCCCCAGCACCGATCCCCGCCCGCAGTGCACAGGGCCGAGCTGCAGCCCAGAGCTTCAGCCAGGTATGTGCACAGGGAACACACGTGGGTGCTAGGAGGACGGACGGGAATGTGGATGTGAAATGCATATGAGGACCCATTCTTGCTTTTCTGTTGTTGTGCCCTCCAAGTTCTGCAAGATGGCATCAGGGCTGTGAATTAAGGAAATGAGTAATAAATGGTGATGATAGAGTAAAAGGGACCTGCACAGCTGCTTTGTGTAGGGATGTCTGGGAGTAGCTCACTCTGTGTATTTTGCATGTATTCATGTGTGAATCTACGCATATATGTGTATTTACTATGTGTCGGTTTCTATATGTGATATAAAGGAGCTCTGGTGGTGTAGTGGTTAAGGCATTTGGCTGCTAACCAAAGGTCAGTGGTTCAACCCCACCAGCTGCTCCATGGAAGAAATATGGGGTAGTCTCCTTCTGTAAAGATTTACAGCCTTGGAAACCCAGTAGGAGTCACTGTGAGTCAGAATCGAGTCAATGGCAGTTTTTTTTTTTTTTTTTTTTGGTTTATAGGTGCTATAAACATGACATAGATTCTGAGTGGTTGTATCTGAAAAATATACTGAGTAATTTTTTTTTCTCCTAAAAGAAGGAGATAGATTCTTTGGGTCAATCTTATAAATAAATAACCTTGTAAATACGCATCAAGTGTATCAAACTCATCTGAAAATAGGTGTGCTTACTTTAGGAGTAGTTCCACTTTGTGAAGTCTGATGTTCACATGTGCTCCTAATTGTTTCTTTAAGGGATGCACTCACTCTTGGGGGGTCTGTGGTACTATAAGATCTTAGAGTAGCTCATAGGAACACCACCTCAGCCAGAACCACTCTTGGTGAGAAATGAATACTAATCTGGGAATGATTTTCTTTTTTTCAGGAAAGATATAAAAGTTGTGAGATCTGTGTATCTATTTATTTATCTGTCTACCATCTATCTGTCTCTGTCTATATAGAGAGATATATAGAAATACTTGTATAGGTACACAGATCTCGATATAGACTTACAGCCATAGAGAAACAAAGGTAGATGTCAGTATACATAGTGGTTGATGTTGTCCTTCTGTGCCGTCATGTCAGTGTTTGGGTCATGGGGACCCCACATGACAGAGTAGGAGTCCTCCCTCAGTTTCCCTAGGCTGTAATCTTTACAGAAGCAGATTGCCAGCACTGTTCTGCACAAACACCAGGTGGGTTCAAACTGCCAGATTTTCAGTCAGTCGCAGAACTAAGCATTTGATATGAAAGATGGGACAGATAGCCAACATTCTGGTTTCATAACTTTGGAGTGCAGGCTGTATTCAGTCCCACTGGTGTTAGTATAATGGAGCCCCACCTTGTTTGAAGCTATTTGAAACTTCCCTGTCTTCCTGAGGCCTTAGGAACCACTGATGCTCGTGCTTCAGTTTTGAGTCTGGAAGAGCCACCCCTTCATGTGATGGGCTCGGTTGCACCTCTTGTGGGTTTAGCGGGCAGCCCTGCTGCCAGGAATCCTTCCTGTCCATGCCAGCTCCTCTGACTCCCAAGCCCACATCAGCAACCAGTTGTGCTCATACTGATTTTTTTTTTTTTTTACTATCTTTCATCCATGTGATTTTCTCCAACTAAACTGAAAGCTACTTGAGGGCCAGGACAGACATTTTTCTCCTTGTATCAGCAGCACCTGGCAGACCCCATGCCACCCGAGAATTGACTGCAGAGAGGCGGGAAGCAAGGAGAGTTAGAATGGGGCCACGTGTAGTCATGAGGAGATGTTCATTTCATGCACCGTGGGCATCGTTCAAGCATAAGCTGAAAAGTCTCATTACATTGAAATTATTGACCCAGTGGTATTTTTAGAATATGATTGTTTTTCCAAGTGACACCCTGTGCAGCTGTGGCTTTTACCTTGCCTTGATGCTGAGCTATGGGATCTGTGGATAAGAGGGGGTGATAAATAAAACATCCCACAGAGAAGGGTCTGCCTCTCACTGTGGCTCGGGCCATAGACTCAGTTCAAGCAGCACCACCCAGTTTTAGTGGGGAAATAAAGGTGCGCCATTTCCCTGGTTTGAATAGGGGAAAAAAGGGGCACTATTCCCTGTGTTTGAATGAATGTGTGACAGAGTCCAAGTCTCTCAACATAGAGGAGAAGCCTGGATGGTCCTATTTCCTGGCTGAAGGCTGTCTGTTCTTTAGAGAACAGTGGCGCTCCTTGACACATATTTGAAAGGCTGCATGAGGGGGTGTCTGCAAACAATTTTAATTCTTTAGGGAAAGTTATATATACTTACCACAAACCAAATAGTCATTGTTTCATTATATATGCATGTTATATGATGTTTGAAAGACTGAGTGGTCTTTTAGCACAGCAAATAGTATTACTTTTTTTAAAGCTAATTTTATTAAAAGATGAAACAGAACCTGTATGACTTCTCTCTCCAGGTACAGTCTTTTTTTTTTTGTTCTCAAAAGCATCCCATTATGGAGTGGGACTGTTCTTCTTTCCATCTTCTCTGACTCTCTGGCCCTGAGGTACTGCTCATGGAGACGATAGACTCACTTTTCAGTTCTTTGAAAGCAAGTTGATGGTTTACAGCCCTTCTTTTGGCCTAATGTCTAGATCTAAGGGATCACAGTTTGAAGTAAGGGCTATTTTATACTGAGGATAGCTGATCAGATATATGAATTTAGCTTTTATCAGTTTTCTACCACTTTTAAGATGCATAACTAGTAAAATAATGAAGTTCTACCTTCTGTTATTTTTATCTGGAACTCTTTCATTGTCCATGCTTGGCCTTTTTCTTAAATACCAAACCAAAACCCAACCCAACCCACTGCCATTGAGTCAATTCCAACTCATAGCAACCCTGTAGGGCAGGGTAGAACTGCCACATAGCGTTGCAAGGCTGTAAATCTTTACAGAAGCAGACTGCCATATCTTTCTCCCACAGAGCAGCTGGTGGGTTCAAACCACTGACCTTCTGCTTAGCAGCCTACAGCTTTAACTGCTGTGCACTATGGCTCCTATGAATACCAAAGACCTCTGTAATTTGAGTGGGATACAAGGAGTCAACTAAAATAAATAAATGAGTAAGTGTGCTGATGGCTAAGCATCATGGGAAATGGAAATAGCGATATAAAATGAAAAACCAGTCAACTTTTCAATGAGTTCTATGTGCATCTTGGAAGCTCAGTTCACCCATAGCTAGGTAGTCACTAGCTATTAACTATGCCTTTGTTACTTATAAAATGAATAGCTACCATTTATCAGACTCCCAGAAGGTAACCTGTATACTTCCGTCCTCTTATTTAAACCTCTCAAGAGGGTTGTATTTTCCTCTACATATTAAAGTCGAGAGGACTCAGACTCATCTGGGTTTACAGAGTATTAGTGCACCATTTTAAGGAAGCAGCAGCAAGAATGGGAGCATGATCTGGACCAAATTGACATCTCAGAGTTCCAGGGAGCATTGTGTATGCTTCTTGTTTGTATATTGACCATTGTAGAAAATGTATCTACAGCTTACACCCAGTAAGAGGCCTATAAACATGGAAAAGCGATATGCTGGCCGATCTGCCTCCATGTAAGTCCTCCACTGATAGAAGTTAATGATACTCCATCATCTGCTAATTGTCATGGGAGTAAAATGTAGCTGTTCAGAAAGACAGGACTGAGCCTTGCATTGAAAGTCATATCTGCGTTAATGTTTAATTAGAAAGTGTTATTACATTGTAAAGTATGAACAGTGTGCAGTCAAAGTCGTCAGAGTGGTGGTTTGAAGCCATCAATAAAAGTGAATGTTCAAGATTAGACTGTAAGTTTGAGGCAGAAGTTAGTGCAATATTCATTTATCTGGCAGTTGAGTGGGTAGGAGTCTGAATGTTTAGCAATTCTTGAATATTCCAAAACTAGTTCCAAAGCATTAAGCTAACAGGATTGTGAGTGCTGGTGAATATTCTGATTCTTTATTGTGTAAACTATGTACCAGACATTGCCGCCAAGATTTCTTCCTACTGGGTGCTACAGCAGGAAAGACATGTTTCATGGACCATCCTACCCAAGAGGTCACCATGAGTTGGAATGGACTAAACTGCAACTAACAGGACCTAGGGTCTCACATGGCAGAGAAATGTTTAACAAGCACACCAGGGTTTTACTCCGAGTTTAATGTTATACCGTTGAAAGTGGGGAGACCATGTCCTATCCCAACAATGTCTCCATTGTTCAATTCATCATTGCAAACTCTCTTTGTGTGTTTTTATAGGGCCTGGTCTATAGTCTTTTCAATATTCTGAGTGGAGTTAAATCTCTTTCCTTCAAGGCCAGATAAATTTTTAGAATATCCTGGAGTCATAAGGTGCCAACCGAGCTAACAAAGTTCAGAGGATAGCCAACAGGGGCCAGGACTGATTCACAAGGACAATGATCTGTCAGCACACCTGGCTGCCATCGAGTCAATTCCGACTCCTAGGGACCACGTATGACAGAGTAGAGCTGATTGTTCCCTGGGGTGTCCAAGGCTATACATCTTTAAAGGAGCAGACATTGCTCTCTCCTATGGAGTGGCTGGTGGGTTCAAACCGTCGACCTTTTTGTTAGCAGCCAAGTGCTTTAACCACTGCGCCACCAGGGCCCTTTCTATCAATGCAAAACCAGTTCTTTGCCCCAAACAAGTGTAATTCTAAAGCAAAGCATGTGATTTTCTATCTGGCTCATAAACCGTTTCTAAACACAGCTTCACAGGAGTGTCATAAATGCCAAGAATACTAATTTCAAGTTAGAAAACATCTCCTAGCTTATTCCACATAGCAACCTTTATTGTGTGATCATCTCCAGGCTCTGCGCTCAGTCCTGGCCACGTGCACGTAACCTACACTGTCAGACCATGGGTCTGAGTAAGATTATGGGTCATGACATTCAAAAAAATATTAGTTCTCTGGCATTACCCCAACTGAAATCCTTGACCATCCTCCTCCTGAGACTCTAAGATGAGTTCATGGGGCTGGACTGTAGGAAAGAGTGTCTCCTTGC